TTTATTGTCTAAGCTGCATCTCTGAAACTGCATTTTGTAATCTTTTATTGAGACCATAAACATATTCCCGCTTTGGACTAACCATAAATCACAGTGTAACAATGAACTTTGCCCTTCGATCCCCGATTACGACTCCCCCCATAAACGCGTGATTCCGATCCATCCACACACAGTTTGCTTTAATTTCAGGCCCCATCAGATGCATTCCAGCTGAGAACTTTGACAGCCATTCTTCCAGACCCCCTATTTTCCTTGATCATCTGCCCCGCCGACATGAGGAAAATTTCGAGCTGTCAAAAAGGAAATTGCTGTAAATCAAATCCTCGACTTCGGGAATGGCAACAGGCAAAGGAAGATCGACGCTCCACAATTCGCCAGTGTTTCCATTGCATGTCGCACATGTTTTGAGCACTATTTATATCACCGAACCCCATACCCCTGTAGAATTCCCCCATCAACTACTCCTCGCTTATCGCTCTGTGGTTCATTAAAGTCGGAGAATCGGAGAATCGAAGAAGCGGAGCGAGAGAAGAAGGCCCAAGAGTGCACAATTAATTCTGGCGGAGAAGAAAGATCTACAAGTTACTCTGCCACTTCCAAAGCTGATAATAAAAATTCCTCGAGCGCTTCATCATTTCGAGGCGCTTCTTCATACGATCTATTCATAGAGTTGTTTTCTAGTCATGATGGAATGGCTTCGGTTCGTATTTATAGACACGCACCGCAGTTGCAGCGCGCCTTTGAAATGTATCTTCTTCTGGTGGATGCATCCCAGCATCTTAGCGGCCGTGCCTAATTCAAGAATCACAAAGATGCAAGCAAAATACCGAAAATAGCTAGACTCCAAATTGTCGATCTGGACTTGGCACCAATTCAGAATGCTTTGCGTACATCCCAGATACTTTTGCGACTGTGGCATTCCTGCCAAGTTAATCACCTCAATTATAAGGTGGTCAGGAGTTTGGCTACCGAACTTTTAATTGCGCTTTATCTTTCATGTCCCAAATGATTTAGTTGCAAACATCGTTCAATGCATGAATGCAATTGGGATTTTAAAAGCTTCTTTGGTAAGAATATTTATAACCCATTTATTATGGTTCATTTTATCACTACTTAAGCCGTAAAGTCATGACAAATCACACCTAAATATAGACTTCTTAACTTAAAAGATTTTAATACCTAGTTTTTAGTCTCGATTCCACTTTATAATCGCTTTATAGCCTAATGGCTTCAAATTGTAAAAGAGACGGGGCGAAGAGAATCCTAAACCGCTTAGTGAATAAGTCAAACGAGATCTGAGGACACCTCCCCCCGAGACACACCTCTGATTCTCCATCGAGCAACGCTGAAAAATGCGAAACTATTTAAACAACAACATGCGAACCGGTTCCCAATGAATTTGCTGAATAAATTTGGTGTGTTTGTCTACCAAATTCAAGGTTAATATTTTTAAATGCAAAATAATCAAAGCTGATACCAACAAATTAGCCTTCCGAACAATACGAATACGAAGAGGTTCAGGTTCGCTTGCTGCTGGAAAAGATGGAAATTAATTAGCGACCGGCTGGTGATTGACTTCAGCAGCTGACACAGTGGCCAAATGAGATTTTCGTTTACAGATAGTTTGACATAATTTGTAGGCGTGCCTTTGCTAACCCGCCTCCAGATAAGACATGCAACAAACAGTTGCATGTTCGTGTGCGTCAAAAGAAGCTGAGCAGAGAAACACAAACTCGATGCGGAAATGCAGATAACAAATCAAAGAGCTGGGGAAAATTTAGAGAAAAACCTTTGGAAAATTAATGAGCTGCAAACAATGCGGACATCGTTAGCTGAAAAAGATATTTTCGGGAAAACTAAAAAGGAGAAGGCAGAAGACGACGGAGCGAGGTCAATATTTGGACACCAAAACTACAGAAAAAAGGAAAAGTTGCGCGCTGGGAAAAGGGAAAGGGGAAATGATGCTCATCCCAAGTTGAGCAACAAATTGGAAAGACCCTGCTGATTCAAATGATTCACGTCAATCAGTTACACATTCATTTATCGAACGCAATCAAAACAAAATCAAACAGGTGCGGAATACAACATATAGTGTACGATCAGTTGGTTTGCGATTGAATTTCTCCAAAGCATGCCTTCAAAATCTATTTACGTGGCCACGAAAAACTATTTCCCAATAGGAAAAACCAAAGCAAGGCAACAGCTAAAGCATAAAACTACCAGGTAAACGGTTCGCTTTTCATTTTACACCTTCCACGAAAAACACAGCCATCCACTGCACCTCCCCCTGACCCTCCTCCCTTAACCCTTCATTTTCCGCTGGCTGTAAGCAAATCAAAAGGAGGTCAATCCATATTGGCGGAATAAGTGGAACAAGCAACAAACAATATACAAAATACTAGAAGAACCCCAGTTGTTGGGAGATGAAATGTTTACGGATCTTCGACAGGCGCTTGCGAAATGGCAAAGCAAAGTGAGCTCACTTAGGGAAAAACAGATGAAGAGCTCCCTGAAAGATTTCCGCAATAAATTGTGCAATTTATTGTGAAATAGTGTATTCAGCGCGGAATGAATTCGACCATATATACAAAACGGTTAATAAAAGGGGGATTTGGGGTGGAGAAATCCAGATGAGATCATGTAAAAGTTGTTCAGCCAAGCAAGTGAATCAATGATCAGGAATGCTGTAATTAAACTGGCGAGGCAGAATGAAGAGCGCTTACATCGAGGGGAAACTCAAAGTCGGGGGTGAACGAGAACCAGTATAACAGATATGTATAATACCTTCAAAAGCAGGGGATGAATTCCAAGAAGGGTGTGCAGTGGCAAGCATCAGAAATGAGGGCGAGATAAATATCGAAAGCGTGCCACCAAAGTTATGCTCATATTAAAAGTGGGTGTGAATAAAATGTCAGTTACAATATGTTGATATTGGTCATAGAACTACATTTCTTCGAGGAACAGAGAAAAGCAAAAACATTTATTCCATACTTCTTTCCAATAACTTACAGCTATAATGAAGTAAGGAACCCAAAATGATCACAAACTCAAGTACACCTTTGAAGTTTCCTACCCAAATTAGTTCCCAAATGAGAAAACAAAGCCCAATAAGTGTAGAGATGATCAGGCAAAAGTTTGTATGCCGAGTTTTTCACTTTTAGAGAACAAGAGTTAAAAGAATTTTCCTGACCTTAATTTGGCTTACAAAAAAGTTCAGGAAAACAGTTAGAGGAAAGTGGAATATACCCAATTGTGTTAATCGAAATCGAACATTAGGAGATTAGATATTGACAATCATTCTTTGGGATTGATTGTTGGTTTCCTTGATGAATTCCATAATTTTCAACTTCCCTCTAGATGATTTGTATTTATTTCCCGATTACTTTCTCGCCATTTAAGAGCCGCTAAGAGTGTGGGAGAGATTTGGGCCTGAAAACTCGTCGTTTTGAGTCTTCGGTTAGGCAATTTGGCTCCTAAGTGACCTAAACCGTCCCACTGCTAATGAGCCATTAACACGCTTATCGAGGAGAAGGAAGAAACATGGCTTAGAGACCGACAAGGCCTGGCCAAAATTGGCCACGCACATGAGATGGGATTTTGGCATATTGGTACTTCAAGACTTTTTGGCCCAAAGAGACTCGGCACGTGAGCGTTAAAGCCAAAACACTTTGGGGTTAAGCTGGGCAAAATGAAAATGAAAGAGCAGGCGGTGCGCGAGTGGAAAATAATATGAATTTCCTCAATTAGATTCCCCAGTCGCTGACCCCAAACCAGGCACGATGTGCTGGAAAAACGATGGAAAACCGGGGGAAAGACGAATGCAAATCGCATTAGGACGCGCGTTTAATCTGCTCCAAGGCATCGCCTTAACCCCGCCCCGAGGAAAATGGGGAAAACTCACGAGAGGGGTGGGTGGGAAATCTAGGAAGAGGGCACCATTAAACGGTTTTCCATTTCCCGCTGGGTCAGCGGGTCATCGAGTGGGCGAGCGGCGAGCGGAAAAACGCGAGATGAATGCAATATGGAAATCAATAAATAAAAACAACATTTTCATTCAAGTGCTCGACGAGGAAATGCTTGTGGGAAAAGGCCAGTGAAAACCGTGTTCAAGTGTCGCCTCTAAAAATTGGAAAATCTCTCTTCGATGTGATGTAAATAAACAACAAGACTGCGACAACATTTGTTTATTGAAAATGGAATGGAATTTAAAGTGCGAAGTAGGGAAATACTTAACAAAACGAGGATCCAGAAGTTGGGTTCTTTGACTTTCGAGCAACTCACTTGTCAGAGAATATAAAAGGTAAATAAAATTTACAAATATGTTATATTATAATTAGTAATCATATTAATAGAAGCAAATAAACAAGGGTATTCTCTTCTCTTACTTTATCACATGCTTTTCTAGTCCACATATCAATCCAATTTTTCTTTGCACTTTATCGATGGCAAAATAAACGATTGATAAATAAAAATCAACCCACGCGCAGTAATAAAAACAACAACAATACAAATGCACAGTTACACTCACACAAACCTAAAAGTGAAGAGAGTGGAAAGGCGAAAGAGAAGAAGAGGGAGAGAGCAAATATTATCGCAGTTATTACGAAATCGCAATCGAAACATAACGGTAGATATGGATAGGAAAAGCACCAATACAATAAAGCGAAGATGGGTGCTGGCGGAGGAGGGGAAGAAGTGGGTGGGTGGAAAAGAAACAAACGATCGCTGTCTCATTCTCGCTCTCACACTTGCTGACTGCACAAATTGCAGTTAAAAGAAAGAAGCAGAACGGCCTGAGAAGAAAGACAAAGAATAAGAGTAACTGGCTAAGAAGAAAAGAACAAGAAGTCGAGAACAAAATAGAGGAGAGCACGTACACACATACATACGAACACATAGACAACAGAGAAGGCAAAAATATTTCATTTTTACTTTTTGTACACCTATAATAATATTTAAATGCATTTTCCGTGTTATTTAATATCAACAATTAAACTTACTTGCTTTTTTTTTGGCAGCCACGCATGCGTCGAATGGGATTTGGTGCTCCTTCAGATTCCAATTGGAATTTGTACCCCGGCTGCAAAAACTGTTTTTTTTTTCTTTCGCTTTATTTCCACACTGCACACATACACATATGCAGCGGCACATACACACAAGTGCACGCACTGCAGTCGATTTTGGTTTTTCACATAAAAACCTTACTTCATGTAAGCCACTTATGAATTGTTTGTCACCAATTTTCCTATTTTGTGCATTGATTTTTATTTTACCTTGCGTAGCCTTTCTTAAATCTGCCTAATATTCACATGCACTTTTTAGCGACGCCAACACACACACTTGCACACGCACACACATGGCGAGGATGAGAGAGGAGAAAGAGAGCAAAACACCGTTTCCGTTGCTTCCTTTTCGCTTATTCCTCTTTAGCCGCTTCTTTTTTTTGATTCTGGCTCTTTTTGGCACTTTTTAGCCCCTCAGTTGCTGGCAATTCACTTTGCGTACGAGCATTAACAATTAAACACATTAAGACGCGGAATACGATGAATACGATGAAATCCCGAACATATAAACAAAAATCAAAGGTGGCTTTTATTGCAGCCTTGTGCAGGTGTGCTTTTACACATTCATAGCGCAATTAAATTAGAACGCTGCACATTTACTTGTTTACCGTAACTACTTTTGTTTTAGGTTTACCAACGCGCGCCGCAAACCTCGGTGCCGCAAATTATAAACACGACTGCCTTCGATTTGTCGGGCAGGCTTATCGGTCTATCGATGATTCGATAGTGCGATCTGCAGTGTGACCATTTCTTGTGGATTCAAAAATCTCATACTATCGTACATAGCTAAAAATATGAATAAAAATCTGGTGTCCCACTAAAACGAAGTGTTTACATGGGTTCACCAAATGAAGCCTACTCCCATCTAGTTGCCTTGTGTCATCCCAGGACTCGATGACGGAAAAATTGGACTTCAGCCTGAACAGGGCCTAATTCAAAGTCGCTCGATATGCAGAAGTTATCGACACCTGGTATATACCGATAAATACTTTGTTTTGGTTTTCATTGGGAACTCAGCGAAAAGTGACTTGAATTTTTTTCGCTGCCTGAAGCTCCTGTGATTCAATCGAACTTTGCTAAGAGTAGTCTAGGATGTCGCACCGCCACCAGGACATACCCATCCGCCCACGCTACGGATATGTGGCCGAGGAGAGTGGCCCAGTGGAGGGGGCAGCTAGGAACTCCGGATCTGGAGCCACGCCCGCCTCCTCCTACACGGAAATTCCGTTTCTGGCCCAGTATCCGGGAGCGGTGCCGGAGCACGTGCTCCAGGATCTCACGCCCACGGCCACTGGCCACCCTGCCATTTCCGGAAGCTCGAAGATCAGACCCAACGGCGAGAGATACCTTAACCTGGATTCTGGCGAGGATCCCGACGAGGAAGAGGATCCCTTGGAGGAGGAGGACAACAGCAACTCGAACAGCAACTCCAAGGGCAGTTCCGGGGACATCGAGAGGCCCAGACTGAAGGCAGAGAGCAGTATGGTCACCACCACATCCAGAGTTCCTTACTGAATTAAGCATCTTCCGATTTGCAGGTGTGCCCTACGAACTAGAGGGTGAAACCAGCGACTCCGATGGAATGCGCCACTTTGTGGCCCACGATCTGGAAGCCAAGCTGCGCGAACGAGCGCCCGCCTCGGACTACTCCTCGGAGCACACTACGCCCCTCAACTCCATGGGTCCCATCAGTTCAGCAGCCACTTCCGGCAACGGTCTGCTCACGCGGAGGTTCCTTCAGTCGCGCAACATTCCCGAAGTGGACGGCAGCGTCTTGAGCGACATCGAACTGGAAGCCCAGTACCTGGCCAGCTCGGTGGACAATCTGATGGAGAACCTGGGCAACCTGCTGCACTCCATCTCCTCCATAACGGCGGACAACGTGGAGGTGCACCGCAACGCCGTGAACAAGCTGACCGACACCTTGGATGCGAACATCAAGTGCCAGTACCAATTGCTGGCCAAGGCGGAGGAAATCACCAAGTCTATGAAATCCACAGAACAAGTGGGTCAGCGCATGTAAGTGGGCCATTCCAATCCGATGTCCCAGTTGTAATGGGCTTTCTCTCCGCAGAAGACAGATCAAGCGGCTGGTGGATATGTTGGACAGCACCATGTAAAATAGGCTTATGTCATCCTGTGATCAATCAATCAAAAAGATCCTCTCTCTCTAGTCATTCCGTAAATACATTTAATCAGTGTTATAGTAACTAACTAGTAACCCTTTCGCATGGAAAGCTACCGTTCGCTTAGTCAATTGTACCTATTCTAGCAGTTCCTCTACAAAATCCGCCGCCAGGCCTCACAGCTTCTCCACCTTGGCCTTGATGATCCGTAGGGGATCCACGGGGCGATCGTTCTTGTCGGTCTCCACCATGCCGATCCGCTTCACCACCTCCATGCCTGTGTACACCCTGCCGAAGATCGTGTGCTTGCCATCCAGCCACTGCGTGGGCGCCAGGGTGATAAAGAACTGCGACCCATTGGTGTCCGGCCCGGAGTTGGCCATCGAGAGTATGCCCGCGCCCGTGTGCCTCAGATCGCCGTGCAGCTCGTCCCCGAACTCGGACCCGTAGATGGAGGCTCCGCCGCGGCCAGTGCCCGTGGGATCGCCGCCCTGGATCATGAAGTCCCTGATGATCCGGTGGAACACCACGTTGTTGTAGTAGCCCCTTCGCGAGAGCTCAGCGAAGTTGCGGCACGTGTTGGGCGCGTGCTTCCAGTACAGCTCCACGGTGATTTCTCCCATGCTGCGGGATGCAAATTAAGTGGTAAACAAATTCGCAATCCTCAGTTGTTTATCGGTGTTTAGCGAGCGGGTACTGTAGTTCCAGACTCACCTCGTTTCCAAGGTCACGAAATGCGGCTGCCAGGCCTTGTCGGGAATGCCTCCATTATTGCTGGGTTCGCTTAGGGACAGCATTATTATATTTATTGTTAAATTAGCGAGTATTCAGTAAAATAATTAAAACCGGCGGAGTCAGTGTGACCAGCTTGTGTAAACTGGCATCTTGCTGCCTGACAACCCTGCACTGCTGCGGTATACTTCTGGTATTTTAAAAACGCCCCATGGTATTTATTAGGGTTTTTGTGAGCACACGCAAAGGTATTTTCCATTTAGTTACATTTCAAAATTCGACGAGGTAAATCGTGGAGAATATTTAGCGGACGGAGTTTTTCGTCGGGCTCGCGAGAAAAAGAGACAGAAAATAAGAGAATGCGTGTACGTGAGTGAGACAACGCGGAAAAGTTAAAGAGGATCGGAATCATGGCGAGTGTGTTTTTATAATCAAATTTCCACAGCACTTTCCACGTATAATCGTAAATGAAGCTAAAAAGTAAGAGAAATATGAAACGAAAAGCCTTTTCCCTTGCCTGCGAGTACATGTGTATGTGTTTGGGAGCGTGTTTTTTTTTGTTGCTGTGTTGTGTTTGCTGAGCGCAGAGAAGAAGAAGCAGAGCAAAGAGAGAAGAGAAACTCTCGAAAATGAATTGAAAACGATGAACTCAAAGTAGCGCACTAGTATGGTGATTGTGTGTGTGTGCGTGTGGGAAAGAGAGGGAGAGAAAAACAAAGAGCGTAACAACATTCAATTGCATTTTTAACTTGTTTTCGCCATGGAATTGTTGCTGTTGTCGGGTTTTTCGGTCGCCTTTTGTTAGCAACAATTTATTTACAGGGCGTTCCGTGCAGCGGACTGTTCTCTTTCTCTCCTGGGGCGGTTTCCACATGGGAAAACTCGGTTTTTCCATTGTTTTTCTCAAATGCGGGTGCTGGTATTGCCCTCTCTTTCGCTCGTTAATTAAGGATTATTGTGTTTGAATTCCCTAGCTAAAGCGACTAAATTCACAATCGCAAACAATAAGCCCGCAAGCGGTATGTTTTTCATTTAAGCAACAGTGTTGATCGAAACTATAGAATATACATGCTTATTGGCCCTTTTCCAATTTCATTGATAAAGGGAGTTTACATATTTTAAGAGATAAAATCATTTTTAATCTGGGAATAATGAGTAGAATTTTGTTTGCACTAAATTTATATATAAAAGTCTTTCCTTCTCCATGAAGTGTGTTACTCTAGAAGCTTCTACAACAAAATAAGTCTCAGTAGGTTGAATAATTTGTCCACTTCTGGGACTTTTATCCCCTTCCCTCGGGCAATTTGTATTGTTTGGGATTTATTGCCAACTCTTTTGGCGTTTATCAAAACAAAAGAGGCACGATAACTGGCTGGCGGAAATGGAAATAACTGCCTTATCCCTCCTCCTATTTATCCTTCTCTTTTCCTCTCTCTCTCTCGCTCTCTCTTCTGCCACTCGGTTGTCCTCCTGTGACGCTGCGTCATCATAATCAGCGTTTGTCGATTCATCAAAGAAACCGCCGCCGGTTGCTCTCTCCACTCCTTCTCTTTTCCTCCATTCAAGGATACCGAAAGAGAGAGACAGAGAGGGACCGAGAGAGTCCTGCCTCTCCCTCTGCATTTCCCCATGGGTTTCCTATGTAAATCATTTAAAGGGAAATTGTTGCACAACTTTAACGAGTCGTTGGCCGGGGAGGGGGGAGGCTTACTGCCTTGTGGGTTTTGTGGGTTTTCCCGGCGTAACCGTAGCTCCCTCCACCCCACTCGCCCACTTTGGCAGCTGTCAATTAAAGCTTACAGGGCGAAAAAATGAAAACCCCGAGCTTCCATATGCTAGCTGTCCCTCCCACAGGTCTCCGCCCCCCAACAGCTGTTGGAAAATGAGATTAGGTGGTGGGGGGGGCCAGTGGAGAACTAGCTTTATTGGCCCGTAATTGATGCCCAGGCTGCCAACCATATGCTGATTGAATTGTGGCGTTGTCGCTGCAGGAAAGAAGAGGGATGCGGACTGCTGACCTCGCCACCAAAGGCAGAGCCCAACCCGTTCAAGCTGCTACTAATCGAGTCTTCTGCGGGGAACCCCGCGGCCACAGACTTGTCAAGCTCGCATCCTGCTGCGCTAAATGAATCCCGAAAGTTCATTCCAGATTTAACGACACAGTACAATGTGGCTTAACTAACGAAAAGATGACCAAAAACTGGGATATTATGTTTGAGTTTTAGCCACTCTTGACTTCAGTGGCAGAAGAAAATGGCATGCATCGAATTCTTTGGCTTATTTTCATAAGAGTACTCGGAATTTCACCAGTAACGTGTGCCTTTTGTTGGGTTTCGCTTTCAAAGTCTATGTTTTCTAAGAATGGTTCGGTATTCCTTATTTCCCCTAAAATCAAATTTTTCAGTTCTTCCCGCTGGAAGCCATATGCTTTCTTTTGATCCTTTGCAGGGAAAGCAGAGTGCACCCCTTTTACCTTTCTGCTACGAAACTATAGCAGTTCCTTGGCGCGGCTAAAAGTGTGTTCCATCCACGCAGCCATTTCCATCTTGTTCTATATGTGTGTAATTAAGTCTGCCCACGACGCAAGTTTTCCTCTGCGCCTCTTTTTGCCCGGCGGGTTCCCCCAACGAAACCACTTTGGCCCATTCGCACATCCCATCCCAACCCCATCTCGACCCACCTCAACGAAAAACTAAAAAAAACTATTTCGCAAGGTGCCCCTTTTGCCGGTTCTTGGCCTCCCTCTTGCGCTTTCTCCGCCCCTTTCTTCGGGTTTCTGCTGCCGACGCAAATCCTTACGTGTCAAATGGAGCTCTCACACTTTTAGATGGCGCTCGATGAGGGACATCCACGTAAGCAATCAAGCCATGAGTCAGCTATCCGACGAGGGAATTCCCCTTACTGGGATTATAACCATTGCACACTGTGGAACATAGGATATGGACTTGCTTGTGGTATAAATTTATAAAGATAAATCCCATTTCTGCTTATTGAAACGACTTAATGACTTGACTAGTCTAGGGACTGTACACTGTACTATAGAGAATGGTAATCTAAACCCATAACTCTGGGTTAGTTTACCATAGATTGGTGCGACCCAGGACATTGTAGGGTAGCAAATGAAGGAAAAACCAAAACAACAACCACAGCGAAAGTAAGCAAAAATAATTTCGCGATTCGTCCCCCGGGCAGAGCCCTAAAAGTCGCAGATTGGGCGGGGAGAAAAGAGAAAGGGGAAAGGGGAGAGGGGCGGCAGGAAGTGGAAGAGAGGAGACCGGGCTTGCGCAGGCGCCTGGAAGAATCCGGAGCGGAGAAAGAGCGGCGGCGAAAGGCCGCTCTCTTTTTCGGCTCTGTGGCAACAAAGTTTCGGTGCCTCAATTCTTCGATTCAGAGTCTCCACAAACGGCTTCGCGAGCGGACGTTGCAGCCACAGAAGATACAGCTACAGCCGTCGAGGAAGTGGCAGCTACAGAAAGCCAAGATATATATCTGCATATACATATGAGTGGCGAAGCTGCTGCGAAAAGGTGCAAAACAAATTAAGATGCATAAATAAACACCGGACTCGCTGGCAGGTGTTTTGTGAACTCTGCTTGTGTGTGTGCCAGTGTGTGTGTGAGTGCGGTGCGGTGCGGTGAAATATTACGAAAGAAAACCTTTTATGTTTTGCAATTTTCCCGCAAACAAATCAACGTGCATAAATATTAATTTTGGCTACACCCAAAATGAGATGATGGACAATAACAGCGGCAAAAGCAAGCACTGCCAGAAACTTGTTTTAGCCCGGTTTTGGATTTCCTCCCGCCGACGTTGTTAAGCAAGGGCCGAGTTTTAGACGTTAGTTAGAGAGTGCGTGTAAATCGTGGCCAGGATATTATGTTTCCCAAAGTCACATCTCAAATGTATTCACTGCCTATCTTTACTGATGATAGTTGTGAATTCATCAAGTTACTAATCGACTCACTAGGTTGGGTATTGTGGGTGAGTTGGGCTGAGTGCCACAAGAACCTTGTTAGAGGCAGCTACGAAGTTTGGTTCCAATTACTGGTATTTGAAATGATATTTTTGATTCGGGTGCTCCTACACCATGCAGTAGATGTCCGTAGCGGAAGTGTCCTCTGGGTATCCGTAGGATACATTTGCTCGGCAGCTGCAGAAGAAGAATCCATTCAGCACTCGCCCTCTCCGTTTTCCACTCGCTGAGCAATCCATTAATAACTTTGGAACCGGCTTGTGTTTGCTTTAATTTGTTGTTGTTTTTGGTGGATTTGCTCTTCGGGTTTGGCAACGAAAGTTGCCAATTAGGTTTAATTTCAGGGGCTTCGCTGAATTTTCAGCAGGCAAAGTGCGTAGAAAAGGGTTTCGTGGTGTGTATCTGTGTGGGCCAAAAGTGCGCGAGTGTACGTGTTGTTTGTGTGCGGGGCCAAGTGCGTAATCTCTGAAATGTTTTTATTGTTGTTTGTTTTTTTTTCGTTCTTTTGTGGTTCTCATTTTCGACACCCGAAATGTGTTTGCCTTGTTTTTATAGTTTGGTCTCTCTCACGCCGCTTTTTGCGTAGTTTAAAAGCGGAATAAATATCAAAACAACTACAGTAGACCCTGGATAAGCTAGTTCTGCATGCAACACTCAAGTAGTTACCAACCCTTCAAAGGGGTACAAACAGGCCCATTAACTAAGTTCTTCAGAGTAGTTATGCTAATTTTTCGCTAGTCAGTCTCCCCTGTCAATATTTGTGAACAATAATGGGTGTGTATGTGTGTTTTTGGACAAATTATGTGAATGGAAAGTTTCAAAAGCGAATTAAAATAAAAATATATGAATGCGGGGCAGGTGTGCGAGGTTGATGATATGATATTTTTGGAACGTGATTTTTGCCGAATTTTATTCGACCATACTAATATAGTGTTTTTCCCCTCTACTTGCAGATTCTCTTTTAATTTGGCATAAATTGTAATTGTATCTTGAAAAAAGTATATGCTTGTAAATACATCCTATTCGTAAATTATTTTACTCAGAAAGTCTTAAAATATTGAATTCACTTGGAAATTTCAAACGGGGTCACTCGAAATTCGCCAGTGATTCGCCACGTTTTGTACAAACATAGTTTTGTAAGCAGCCGGAACTAAAATCCGTAAACCCGAAAACCAAAACCCCAATGCCAGCCAACTGAGTGCGAGGGAGACAGCCGACCACGTCGAGCGGGATAGCATGCGCCAATGAAAACGTCCTACCTTCCAAAAGCGTCCGATTTCGTTGACTACGCCGTTGCCGGGGGCGGGGGATCCGGATTCTGTCCGGGATTAGGAGCGGGTCTATCAGTCAGGGCGACGTCCTTCTACGGCGATCAAACGGTAACGGCAGCTGCGGACGGGACGCGTCACCAGGAACAACAACAGCACCAGCAACAACAACACACTCTAAGGCAACCTGCAACATCCACATCAACCACATCAGCAGCTGCAGCAGCATCCAGCAAGCGAAAACGTCAAACAGGTGAGTCTTCTTAGCCATAGGTACTACAGATTTTTACTAGGCCTTCAAAACCCGCCCCTATAATTGTCTATTTGAATTCGATATCGATCACATTTGAAGGGCACCGATAAGCCATTCAGAGTAAACCGCATTCGGGTAAATAAGTTATCCGATCCGCTTTCGCTTAGCTTGGCAGCTTGAATCATGGGTTATTTGCCTCCTCTTTTAATTTCGTCCGGTTGATTGCCCCTTGCCGTAGTGATAGCACTCATCGATTATTGTGACAATCGCTCGATTTGCTTGAGTTATCGTTATCACACACGCGCCCTGTTGTTGTTTAGTAATACTAGGCGCAATATTTATTATTATTGGTTGCCGTGCCATATTTCTGCCTCTTCTGAACACTCTTATCGCCCGATTCCCCCCCGCGCCCCCCTTTTTATTGTTGATTATCACAATAGACGCCATGGCAACTTTTTTCTTCTTTTTTTGGTGGGGAGACAGGGCAAGGAGGCGATAATTCGCATGGTGGTTTGTCTCCGTTTTGTACTTTTGGGCTTGTGGACATTCCCCAGACTTTGTTCTGCACCTCGGATGGATTCGTTGGATTTTCCACGCTATCCGCGATTACGCTGCATGCTCGAACATGTCTGTCTCGGCGCTTGAGGAAATTTCCCTGCCATAATCCCTTTACAATTTGAGATGATGTCTTCGCTGCTCGACTGACTGCCTGGCTTCATTCGCACTCGCATTATCTGCTCTGCGAAATAGTATGAGTTATTGTTTGATATCTCCTTTTCCCCGAGCTCATTGAAAATTCCAGCGGACGCAATTACCACCCCAATTGTCTCCCAATCTAAGTTTTTGCTTTTGAGCGGCACCAACCGCCTCTTCGCTCGACTGTATTTTCAGCATTTCCTTCGCTTTATGTATTTTTCGCTTATTGCGACTTATAAAAATATTCCAGTTGTTGTTTGCGCTCCCCATTCGCCTGGTTCGCCTGGTTCGCCAGTTTGCTTGTTGTCGTCATCGGCGTGGCTGGAATTTGCTGTATTATTTTATTTTTCCTCCATATTTTCGGCTACTCTCTTCGGCGAAATGTTTATCTTGTTTTGTTTGGCTGCCCACTAATCGAGATAATACTTTTTGTTTTTCTTTTTTGATACGAGAATACGCTGCTTTTATTTCTGGTTTTGGTCTGAAGCACAGCCCAAAAATGTTCGGTTTTTGCGATATCAACATGTTGATTTTTTGAGTGGCGCTTGATTTTCTGGCTGTCATGGGTTACTTATTTGTTTATTTCCACAATCTTATCGGCTGGAACCGTTTGTAATTAATTTCTAGCAAAAATTGTAGATTGCTTTTTTTACCTCTAATTTTAATACCTAGTAGCAATAAAAGTTTGTTCAAGTCTTGCCTACCAAGTAGGTGAAAATCTCCGTGGCTTTGAGCTCAGCTTTCTTCTCGTGTCTTTTTATTCTGCCCTAATTAGCTTCTCGCCCAGCATTCTCGACTTCCTCTGCGGTTTTCCACATATTTCTTTCTTTTTTTTCTCTGCCTGTCGATCAGCGGCATCAAAAAGTTTCCGCTTACTTTGTTGCCTTTTCATTACTGATAGCCAGCTGTACGTATACTTTCGCCCATAAATCTCCGCCGGTTGCTAATAATTTCAGCCGACTTTGAGCCCTAACCCCGCCGAAGACTTCGCCACGGATCACGTCGGTTTTGAGTGGGTGAAAGGAGCTTAGGCAGCTGTGTGCCCAGCCCAGTCTTCCCCGGGTCTCCAGGTCTCCTATGCCTCCTATGTCCTCTATTTCGCCTCTTCTCTAAACCGCTTTTACCCCCTTTCTCCGTCGGCCTGTGTAGGCGTTCTTTTGCTTCGCAATTTCACCCGGCTCACACAGATACACACCAACACATGCCCATAACCGGTGCGCCTCGTCTGCTCTCCTTTGCTCTCCGCGTTTGATTTTCTGAGGGGTATCTCTGTTTTTTGCTCCAGGATGTTGAAGCTTTAAAATCTTTATATTTCAGGAGTTATTAGGTTGGCGAGCGTTAGTGTTACAGTATTAAAAGTAGACGTACATCACTAAACACAAATCCCTTATTAGAATAAGATTAAGTTAGTAACGTTTTTAACCGTAAATTCTGTTATAATGAAGATGTAGTGGACCTTAGAAATATCTTCTCAAATTTGTATTCTAATCTCGAAAAAAACCGCAAAGTATTTAAGACAGTTTATTATTAAATCGTTGTCTACTGCTCGTATCTGCTCCTCTTCTTCTTTGGGCCATCTTTAATAACGAGAATCTTTCACTTTGCCCCGTTGTCTCTGCTGCAGCCTGACACCGTTATTCTATACTCTAGAGATGGCATCGTGAGTGCGATGACTCAATGTGGGGTAATCACAATTAAACCATATTCGTATATGGAAAACCAGATGCACCCGGTTCTCGAAGTTACCTGGATTGGGCTGAGAGCAATCTGGAAACAGGTTCCACCGTCTGGGTTCCCGAAAACAAACAGGTTCCACATGTCGAACGTGTCCAACATTAATTCCCAAAGGGAAATTGGTACACGCGTGCATCTCTCATTAAAACTCAGACGGCTCCCTATTCTCCCTATTCCGCCTTTCTTCTCCTCCTTTCTTCTGGGCTCATTTCTCCGCTCCTCTAGCTACTTGCTACTTGGTTATGTGATACATTAATGGCGTCTGTGTGTGCGTGCCTCTCGGTGTTCCCTTTTGCGACACAGAAAATAAAGCCAAAAGCAGCGAAGGTTTCTTCAAAGGCATTCTACCAAGCCCACGCACTACCAGCCCGGAGAGCGACAGAGAGGGGAATACGGCGGTGAGCGAGACGGCGAACGGGAGGGCAAACTCACATGTCAATCAGGCCTGTTCTGACACGTTCTGCGTTCTTTCTGCTGAGGAGAGAAGTTCAATTTAGTTTAAAATTAATATTTCATGTTTTTGCCAGCTTCACAGCTCGGATGATTCTTTGAAAATCCATCAGAGCTTCAAAATGAACCTACGCTTATATGTACATAGAAAGTGACAATTATCAATTTGATGCATTCAGCATATTATGTATTTTTAGTATATTTTGTATGTTTATTTTGTGATTTAAATTGGGCAAATGTTGAGTAATTTCCAATGATATTATTGTTGATTTAGTTTTTATTTTTGGCCCCGACCGAAAATATATTTTGCTGCTCGGTTGACATGTGAGGAAAAGACGAGAAGCAGACCCACAGAGGCATGCGGACGAGAAATGTAAATGAAATTTCCATGCAAGACATCACGTAGGCTCAAAGTGCAAAGACGACGAAAACTGAAAACGGGTAAACAAAATTCAGATGTGGTTTCGGAATGGTTAAATGAGCCAACGACAGCGATCCGCTGCAAATTCATGAATATAGTCATGGCTCTGGGGTGAATATGTTACGGGCTTAAGGATCTATCGATCGATAGAGCGAGATCCGCGCCATCGATGGCAGAAATACAATTTTTTTTTTCACAACTCAAAACTCGGGAAGGTCAAATTGGGGTTGGGCGGGCACTTAAAGGGTCCGCCACTCAGGGAAACTCGTGAAAATGACAGCTGTCCGTGATGACTGTAGACTGTATGTATCTGCCAGATGCACAGATACTTAGATACTCAGCTCAAGTCGTCAATGGCAAACATTTCAATTAACCAAAACGCAAGGCAGCAGTAAAAACGAGAGGCCAGATACTAGATACTGTGGATAAAGGCGGACAGGCACCAAATTATCTTTATGTTGTGTATTTATTTTGCTTAGCTTTTCCCTCAATTATTTCTGACATGCCACCAAATTTGACTTCTGGTGTTGTCATACGTGGTCTGTATATTTGCTATAGTATGGTGGATGGGGTCAGCTAGTCGGGGCCAGATGGATGAAAACAAGTTTAAAATCCATATCAGTTTTTCAATACCTCAACTGTAATTTCATAACAATTTAATACCCCAAATGTAATTGCATTACAATCCCCCACACGATCTTATTGTTAGACACTTAATTAACTGATAATTCAAAGGTGATTTGCCATATTTTAATTACATATTCATTCTCTCCCGTTGCAGGTAAGCCAAAAAATCGATTTGATGATCCCCACGAAGTGATTTAAGTGAGTTTCAATTTGATGTATTCGAATATGATAATTCCCCGGGGAGATCTGAACTTTGTGTACTGTTGCTGAGGCTGTTTTCGTTCATGGTTAGATGGCTTTCAGCCGTCTCTTTCTTCTCATGGATGTACATACATTGATTTCAACTCAGTTTCGGTTGCTTTTTCGTTGATTTTTGAGCTTGGGTCTCTGAGCCCCGAAAGATCTTCACCAAACAGCAGCAACTCTGAGAAATCGGACCAGTTTCAGCCTGAGAACTTGTTTCGCGTGTCTGTAGACGTTCATTGCGCATACAGTTGGCAGTTTTAATTGAGTTTGCAGTCCCCGAAAAACAAGTGAGAATTATGGGGATGTGCAAGTCGACTAAAGGATACCTTCTACGTACAGGAGGAATCATTCTTTTGGATATGGGATAGATTGCAAAGAATAGATAGCTTTATGCACATTAAATACCATGGGTACCATAACTCAAAGGTCCAATAAAGAGCAACTCTAATTTGCCATTACGCGCCACGTCCTTCGATTCTCATCTCTCTGCTGCTCGTTTGGAGTCTCCGCTCTTAAGTTTGCAGCTTTGGGGAACGGCGACAAATGGAGGTCAACATAAAATGTTAAAAAAACTTAAACAAGAAAAAACAATAAACGCGTTAAGAAGCGGTATAAAGAAAATTCGCCAACACAAGTTGGTTTAAAAGCTTAACTTTTTCAGCTTCCCTCTGTACAGCTGCGGCCATTATGATGTAGAATGGTTGTAGGTTGGTCTATAGAAATGCTTAAAAATGTTTCAAAATGAGTAGTTTGACTCGGATATTTTGGAATCCGTGCTACGACTATTGATGCATTCATTCTAACATCTACATGTTGTTTGCTTAAC